AGGTGATTTGGAGCCAGCTAAGCAAACAGAAAAAGCCTAAGGTGCTGAGTTCAAACCCATACGCACATGTACATAAATATACACCCACACACAAGCACATGCACACTCACAAATACACACATACACATATATACACAGTTAGGAAAATGGAGGAGAACAAAAAAGGAATAGGCCAGACTCGATCATCAACAGATGAGGATGTTTATTGAGGAGCAGTAAGGGGCGCAGAACTTCCCTTGGGTTTGGAGGTTGTGCCCGCGAGTTGGGACAGGAGCTGGGTTTTTAGAAGAGGTCCAAGCGAGGAGGCAGAGATTAATGAAAAAGCCTCTAGGTCAAGGAAGGTGGGGGCCTTTCAGTTGGGCCCACAATGGGATGTTTACAGCTGGGCTTAGGTGGATTGCCCTGCCTGCACTTCAAACAAGTTCACACAGACCTGGGATTTTGCCTGGAGTCTGTATGGGCCTGGGACAATAGGGTGGAGGTCAATCTTTCACACACAAATACACATACATGCATAAGCATGCACCTTTGTGGACATGCATGTACACCAATATGCATACCTATACACAAATGCACACGCATACAAACATGCACATACACATGCACACACAAACGTGCACACACAGAAGCATACACACAAATGTCACAACCCTCAGCCACCAGGGATAAGACAATAATGGACACCAGACCATGGCATTGAGGTTTAGGGCATCAGGAGCCTGAAGTCTTCCACCAGCTGCAAATGTCTGTGACCATTTCACAAGGTATTTGAGTAGGGTACATACATGCAGAGAATGAGGTCACAATTTCCTTGAAGTCACCAGCACCAATCATTTGGTATCATTTTACTCAAGTGATAAGTAACTTTTTTATATTAAGAAGCAGGTGGAGGGGCTGGGAAGGTGGCTCAGTGGTAGAGCGCTTGCCCTGCATGCCTGAGGCCCTGGGTTCGATTCCTCAGCACCACATAAGCAAAAAGAAAAAAAGCTGGAAGTGGCGCTGTGGCTCAAATGGTAGAGCGCTAGCCTTGAGCTGAAGAGCTGCGAAACATTGCCCAGGCCCAGAGTTCAGGCTCCACAACCGGACCCAAAAAAAAAAAGAAGAAGAAGAAGCAGGTGGAGGGGCTGGGAAGGTGGCTCAGTGGTAGAATGCTTGCCTTGCATGCATGAGGCCCTGGGTTCGATTCCTCAGCACCACATAAGCAAAAAGAAAAAAAAGCTGGAAGTGGTGCTGTGGCTCAAGCAGTAGAGCGCTAGCCTTGAACTGAAGAGCTGAGGGACAGTGCCCAGGCCCAGAGTTCAGGCCCCATGACTGACCCACCAAAAAAAAAAAAAAAGAAAGAAAGAAAGAAACAGGTAGAAGCAGTAAATCGTAGTTAGCACAGATTTTTGACCATCCCCAGTCCTTTCGGGTCTCGCAGCTCGGCTTTTGGGGGCCTTCCCACAAATACCTACATGCACACCCATACACACACCATCATGCACACCCTCACACACCCCTGACTCCCCCACTGAAACGCAATTCCGGATAGGCTGAAGGTTTCCTTTAAGACCCTTGGGGAGACTTCATCTGTCAGAGACCCTTCAGGAATCCGCAAACGGGGAGAGGGGCACCCCCTTAACTGAAATGCCGGGGGTGGGAGGTCAGCACCCATCCCAGATCGAACACTGAGGTCCTGGGGCTTTCAAAAGCCTCCCTCCCCCACCCCACCTGCTGGATGATGGGCTGTCACCCGGGGGGCGGGGCGGATCTGGAGAGGCGGAGGCGCGCATGCGCGGCGGCCCGCCACCCCGACGCTCCGCAGTCGGCCTCCGCTGGCTCCTCTACTTGCAAGGCATGAAACCGGGACATCAGTTCAAGGCTCCCTGCGTCACCTCTGCTCGGGAGAAGCCTCTGGGGTCGCCCAGTGCGTTGCGCTCAGCGGCGGGGCCTCCGGACCTCGGGGCTGTGCACCATCGCCCTCCCCCTTCATCCCCCCACCCCACCCCCGCCCCGGCCTGGGGTGCAGAGCAAGGCGCGTCCCGCTGGCGTTCGCGCGCCGCCTAGCGACCACTTTTATATCGCTCTGGTTCCAGTGACCCTGGAACTGGGCCTTGGTGCCTTGTGTCCCCCGCAGCAGAGACAAGAACCTGAGGATGTGGGGTGTGGGGCAGGCCCCCCGGGCAGGCACTGATTCCAGAGTCGTAGAATGTACCTGACACGGGCAGAAAGCAGGAGAGCTCTGGGTCAGGCAGGAGATCCACTGATGACCCCCACAGCCAGCAGCATGCTTGTCCCTCGGTGGAAAGTTCCCCAGGCCCCTAAATCTCCAGTGAGGATTGTGGGCAGCCCGGATAAATGCTCATATACACAGTAAGCTTGTGATTACAATCAAGAAGGGCTGAGCTTAGGGCCAGGCCCTGGGGGACCTGTCATCCTAGCTACCCAGGAGGCTAGGATCTGAGGATCATCATTGGAGGCCAGTCCAGGGAAGGAAAAGTCCACGAGACTCTATAATCTTCGATTAGCCAGAAAAAAAAAAAAAAAAAGCCAGAAGTAGAGCTGTGGCTCAAGTGATAAAGTGCTAGCCTTGAGGGAAGGCAAAAAAAAAAAAAAAAAAGCTCAGTGACAATGCTCAGGCCCTTAGTTCAAGTCCCAGGACTGGCACATAATAAAATTAAATTAAATTGGGATTGGAAGCATAGTTCAGTTGGTAGAGTGCTAGCTAATGAGCAAAAACACCAAATCCAGGTACCAAATTCAAGTCCCAGTCTCAGACCTAAAATAAATAAATGAAATAAAATACTTAGCTTGCCAGGCACCAGTGGCTCACACCTGTAATCCTAACCACTCGGGAGGCTGAGATTTGAGGATCCCACTTCAAAGCCAGCCCAGGTAAGAAAGTCCATGAGACTCATTTTCACCAGAAAACCAGAAGTGGAGCTATAGCACAAAGTGGTAGAGCTCAGAGACAGCGCTCAGACCCCCACCACTGACAAAAAAAAAAAAAACAGCTTGGGCAATTCAGGTATTTATAGTGTGAACTGTAAGCAGGCCTTCTTTTTTCCAAAGAGGGTCAGTACCTCACCCCCTAATAATGCTCACAGCAAACACTATCTGGAGAAATGGCCTGGGTAGAGTTCAGACAGCATTCTGCATTCTTGACATGCCCCAGGAAGGATGTACAGGAAAGATTAAGGAGACCCACTGGCCTTTACCTCTGTGTATCAAAAGCATCCTCCCCAGCTGACACAGCTCCATGTCTCCTCTGGGTCAACCAGTTGTCTAAAGGGTTGGAGAAGGGTCAGGAAACTGATGGCTTCTATCGATTGGAGCAGGATTGCATTAGATCCTTAATGACCTTCATGGACTTAGAACACTGAATCAGAGGCAATCAGACTGCCAGTACCCCTCAGGGTGTGTTTGGGGGAAGGGGAGCCTGTAAGCCTGTGAATGCTGCTTCTCACCTACAAGGAGGAAAAGGTAGGGTCCCAACCCCTAGCTCTATACCACCTGTCACACACGGAGGCCTGCGTCTAACAAGAACACAGAGAACTACGGAAACAGCTCAACCAAGGAGAAGACAATTTAAAACAAAAACCAAAAAACTAGCTGGACACTACTGGCTTATACCTGTAATCCTAGCCAGTTAGGAGGCTGAGATCTGAGAATCAGGGTTCAAAAATCATCCAGAAAGAAAAACTTATGAAACTCTTATCTCCAACTAGCCACCAAAAAAGCCACAAGTAAAGCTGTGGCTCAAATGGTAGCCTTGAGCTAAAGAAGCTAAAAGACAGCACCCAAGCCCTGAGTTCAAGCTCCAACAATGCCTAGTAATTTTTAAAAATAAAATTCTGGCCAGGCATTGGTGGCTCACACCTTTCATCCTAGCTACTCAAGAAGCTGAAATCTAAAGATCTCTGTTCAAAGGCAGCTTGAGTAAGAAAGCCCATGAGATGCTTATCGCCAATTAACTAGCAAGAAGCCAGTGGTGGAGCAGTGGTAGAGAGTTGGCCTTGAGCAAAAAAGCTTAGGGACAGTGCCCAGGTCCTGAATTCAAGTCCCAGTACCAGTACAAACAAAAACAAAATTCAAATTTGTTCATTTACTTTTTAATGTACAGGCATTCATTTATATTCCTCAGAACTAAAATCTAATAATCTCTTTTTTTAAGAGAGAGAGAAAGCAGGCTAACTGGCTTGAGCTTGTAAACCTAATTACTTAGGAGGCAGAGATTGAAGGAATCACAGCTTGAGGCCAGAAATTCACAAGACTGCATCTCAACCCTGGGCCTGGACCTAGCGCTACACACCTGCTAACGCAGCTACAGTACATGTACCTGTCATTCCCAGAGACACCAGGAAGCAAAAGTAAGAGAATGGCAGCCCAGGCCAGCCTGAGCATAAAATAAATCCTTTTTCCTGGGAAGGGATGTGAAGGGTAAACAAAGAAGGAGGCTGCAATGCTTGATAAGAAATGTACGCATTATCCTGCCCATGTAATTGTAACCCCTCTGTATAGTATGTTCACAAAAAAATAAAATAAATCCTTTTTCTCAAAAATAACCAGTAGGGAGAGAAGAGGTCATGGTTCAAGTGGCAGAGTGCGTGAAAACAAACATGAAGCCCTGAGTTCCACACCCCAATATCACCAAGAATTAAAAAGGGAATTTTCCTAGAGGGGAAGGGGAGAGGGGGAGTGGTTTGACAATGCTCAGTCTTTCTACCAATCTCTTGGGTGACAAAGGACCGGAAGGACCACACATGGCAGCTGTCTGCTGCTCAACACGAACCCCTCCAGCCCACCGTCCTTCTGGCATCTGAGGGACACAGAGATGGCAGATATCCCAGCTCTCAGCTGGAAACCCTGCGGCCACACATCCACCCAGGTATGGCAGTGGGTATTTTTTTTTTCCTGTCTGGAGAGGAGGATTCCATCCTAGCACTTTCATTGGCTGCATATGCACCTCCCCCGGGCAGACAGCCAAGTCCCAGGAGGAAATACTTAGTTCCTGCCCAGCCCTTCAGAGCAGGGGCAATGATAACCATGGTCCCTGTGCTGCTGTCCCTGCCTCTTCTTTTGGGTACTGCAGTCCCCCCAGAAACCTCAGCCGGTAAGTGGGTGAAGCCAGGGTAGGTCCTGGAAAAATCCAGAAGGAAGACAGAGGACCCATGAAGTGGCTGGGAAGGATGCGTAGCCTGCAGTAATGGGAGTGCGTTGTTGCCAGCTTCACACTTGTAAGAAACATTCAGGGAGCCATGGAAGGACTCACGCTAAAGAAGATCTTAAGGAGTCAAGCACTGGAGGCTCACACCTGTAACCCCAGCTACTCAGGAGGCTGAGATCTGAGGAGCATGGTTCAAAGCCAGCCCAGGCAAGAAGGTCTATGAGATTGTTATCTCTAAGTAACCACCAGAAAGTGGGAAGTGGATCTGTAGCTCAAGTAGTAGAGTGCTTGCCTTGAGCAAAAAAAGATAAGGGACAGTGCCCAGATTCTGAGTTCAAGCCCCTTGACAGAGCGGGTGGGGGGAAGCAAAGTAAAATCTCTTGGAATTCTGAACTCCAACCTAGTGTTACCTTGTTTTGATCGATTCTGGGTCATTTCTTAAATTTTCCAGGAAAATCTTTCCTCCATACTTTCTACCTATATGTATTTTTCAAGGGAGTCTAGGCAATGCTGCCATAATCAAGAAAGCTTTCAGTGACTTAACCTGATAAAAATGTGGATTTCAGGCTGGGAAGGTGGCTCAGTGATAGAGTGCTTGCCTTGCATGCCTGAGGCCCTGGGTTCGATTCCTCAGCACCACATAAGCAAAATGAAAAAAGCCGGAAGTGGCGCTGTGGCTCAAGTGGTAGAGCGCTAGCCTTGAGCTGAAGAGCTGAGGGACAGCGCCCAGGCCCAGAGTTCAGGCCCCATGACCAACAAAAAAAAAAAAAAGAAAGCCATGGCTCCACTCGCATTCTTCCAGCTCTGAGCCACCTTGACCTGTGAAATATTATCTTACATTGCTAAGCAGAAGAAACTGTATAGCAAGGACCTGGGCCTGGAAACCTCCACGGAGTGAGCACCGAGGCCCCAGGGGTGGGAGGCTGAAGCAGAGCGGACGCCAGGCCATGCTGAGCCTCGCTCTTGTTCTCGTCTCTCCCATAGGTGCTCACCATGCTCTGACCTTTCTCTACACCGGGGTGTCCAGGCCCAGCAAAGGCTTTCCCAGGTTTCAGGCCCTAGCCTTCCTCAATGACCAGGCCTTCTTCCACTATGACAGCGAGAGCCAGCAGGCACAGCCCCTGGGCCTGTGGAGCCAGGTAAGAGGAATGGAAGACTGGAAGGAGGAGAGCCGGCTTCAGAAAGCCAGAGAGATATTCTTCCTGATGACCCTGAGAGACATCATGGATTATTACCAGGACAGCGAAGGTCAGTGGACAGCAGATAGCTGGGGGGGGGGGGGGGGGGGGGGAGGGGCAGGAGAGTGTTAGCCCTACCCAATGAGGGCAAGCAGTTCAATGGGATGGACCTAAAACCTCCCTCAAAAGGAGGGATGGGCTGGGTGCTCAGGCCTGTAATCCTAGCTATTCAGGAGGCTGAGATCTGAGGACTGTGGTTTGAAGCCAGCCTGAGCAGGAAAATCTGTAAGACTCTCCAATGAACAACCAAAAAGGGGGAAGTAGAGCTATGGTTCAAGTGGCAGAGCACTAGTGTTGAGAAAAAAAAAAAAAACACCTCAGGGAGGTGGCTCACGCCTGGTGGCTCTGGCTATTCAGAAGGCTGACACCTGAGGACCATGATTCAAAGCCAGCCCAGGTAAAAAAGTCAATGAGGTTCTTATATCCAGAAAAAGGCCAGAAGTGGTGCTGTGGTTCAAGTGGTAGAGCACTAGCTTGAGCACAAAGAGGCTCAAGGGACAGTGCCCAGGCCCTGAGTTCAAGCCCCAGGACCAGCAAAAAAGAAGAAAAGTGCTATTGTTGCCACTTCAGAAATAAGAAATGTTGGGGCTGGGAAGGTGGCTCAGTGGTAAAGCGCTTGCCTTGCATGCCAGAGGCCCTGGGTTCAATTCCTCAGCACCACATAAGCAAACAGAAAAAAGCCGGAAGTGGCGCTGTGGCTCAAGTGGTAGAGCGCTAGCCTTGAGCTGACGAGCTGAGGGACAGCGCCCAGGCCCAGAGTTCAGGCCCCATGACCGGACCCAAAAAACAAAACAAAAAAAAAAAAAAAAGAAATAAGAAATGTGAAGTGTAGAGAGATGAGATTCAAGTTCACACAACAGCCAGCCTGGGCAGGGGCTAGTCTAGGATTTGGAACCCAAGAACCTGGAGAGTTTATGGAGGCAACACCAAATAATCAGGTGTGTGGTGAACACCTGCTTGGAGATTTGAACCAGCCAGCCCTAGGAAGTCAGTCTCATCTCAGACTGCCCAGAGTTTTCTCCTCTGCCTACAGATAATCTATTTGCCAAGAGAAGTGGCAGGGTGGTGTGGGGAGGGGGCGGCGCTGGGTAGTGTTGCCTGCCGAGATTTCTAAGGCTTTTCTAGAGTGAGGGATTTCAGGGGCAGCTGGCCCCAGGCTGACCGGTTCTCCTGGGGGGTGGGGGAGGAATCAGGGTCTCACACCTTCCAGGGCAGGTTCGGTTGCGAGTTCTGGAGTAACGGAAGCAGTGGAGCATTCTGGAGTTACGCGTACGATGGAGAGGACTTCATCAGATTCAACAAAGACATCCCAGCCTGGATTCCCTTGGACATAGCAGCCCAGGAAACGAAGAAGAAATGGGAGGCAGAGAAGGTCTATGTGCATCAGGCCAAGGCATACCTGGAGGAAGAGTGTCCTGGAATCCTGCGGAGGTACCTGAACTACAGCAGGACCCAGCTGGATCAGCAAGGTAGGGAAATAGGTAGTTTCGTGACTTGCATCAGTACTGAACAGAAGATCAAGGGTGTGTTCTCTCAAGTTGGGAGCTCAAAGGACCACTCAGGCTGCTCCTACCAGTCCCTTAGACTCCTCTTCTAGGACTCTTTCTAACCTGGGACATAATATACTGTCCCAAAAGAATGTCCTTCAAAAATGTGTGTGTGTGTGTGTATGTGTGTGTGTGTGTGTGTGTGTGTAGCCAGGTGCTGGTGGCTCATGCCTGTAATCCTAGCTCCTCAGGAAACTGAGATCTGAGGATTGAGGTTCAAAGCCAGCCCTGGCAGGAAAGTTCGTGAGACTCTTATCTCCAATAAACCAGAAGTGGTGCTGTGGCTCAAATGGTAGAGCACCAACCTTGAGAGAAAAAAAGCCAAAGCAAGAGCAAGAGGCCCTGAGTTCAAGTCCCAGTACCAGCACCAAATAATAATAAAGTCAGGCATTTCATGATCAAATAAGGAGGGCCCAAGCCAGGCTTCCACCTTCCCTGACCTGTGTCAGGGTTTCCGGGAGGAGAGGGGCAGGAGGAGGTACAGAGAAGGAGATTACTTCGAGTCCTCAGTTTCCTCCATTTTTTCCCTCTACAGACCCTCCTTCTGTACGGATCACAAGCCGTGTGGTCCCTGGAAGACACAGGACCCTCAAATGCCTAGCGTATGATTTCTATCCACAAGGAATCAGCCTGCACTGGAACCAGGCCCACGTAGCCCAGGAGTCTGAATCAGAGAGGGTCATTCTTCCCAGCGGGAATGGCACTTACCAGGCCTGGGTGCTGATGAGGATTGACCCTCAGGACAGAGGCCCCCACAAGTGCAGCGTACAGCACCCGGCCCTGCCCCAGCCCCTCACAGTGCAGTGGCATGAGAGGTAGAGAGCCAGGGCCAAGGTGGAGGACTTGGCTCCATGAGAGGGAGATGTCACCAAGATCCCTGGGGAAGCAGCACAAAGGATGGCGCAAATCCAGGTGATAGATTTCAAGGCAGAAGGCTTGGAGATCACGCCCTCTGCCAAATATCACTCCCTTGTTTAACAAAATAATACTAATTGTCCCATCTGTAACCCCCCCTCTCAAAATCATCCCTTTGACGGAGCCCTGAGGACTCAACACCTGTCATCCTAACTCCTCAGGACGCTGAGATCTGAGAATTGCAGTTCAAAGCCAACCCCGGCAGGAAAATCTGTGAGACTTTTATCTCCAATGAACCACCAAAAAAACCGGAAGTGGTGCTGTGGCTCAAGTGGTAGAGCGCTCGCCTTGAGCACAAAAGCTTGGGGATAGTGCTCAGGCCCTGAATTCGAGTTCCAGGACTAACACACACAAATAGAATAAAATAATCATACCTTTGCCCAGCTTAGCAAAGAAAGCCATCTTTAAACTGAAACACTGCCCAAGTTTGTGTCCATTTTTGTCACGCATTCCCCTGGAGTCATCTGAAATTCTATCTACTTAGAGCAATATATTCACCTTGGTTAACTTGACCTTGAATGAGTCTTGACCTTGAACGTGGCTCACACCTCCCTTCATCATGGCTTGGTAGTCTACTATTGATGTGTATAGATGTGGCCATCACCCTAAATATATTCTGTGCCTCAGTTTCCCTAGCATTCCCTCTCTCTCTCTCTGTGGACACCACCCTCCACTAGGTTATCCCAAGCTGCATGGGTCTGAGACCACAAAGAGCCCACCCCCAAGAAATTAAGAACCAGCCCTGGCATTCTGGGACACCCCCACCCACCCCCAGATCCATCTGAATGAGTTCTTCTACCTCACGTACCCACTGCTATCACAGTATTAAATGCCCCAGGTCAGGGCAGAACCTTCACACCTGGTTTTTCTAGTAAGCCTCAACTGCCTATGCCTGGGCTGCTCCTTCCTATGCAACACCTTCCTTTATATCCTGTCAAGAAATAAGAGTAGTAAGAGTCCATGCTCCCACCCTGGGTTACCCCCAAAATCAATCCCTCTGCCTGAGATGCTTAAGAAATCCTTTCTAACTTTCAGAATTATGAGTCAACAGCATCTGTCTTAAGGGCCAGACAGGGAGGTCATGCCTGTAATCCCAGATCCTCAGGAGGCAGAAATGAGGAGGATTACATTGGGAGGCCAACCCTGAAAGGGGAGGAGAGGCCCTATCTGAAAAATAACTAAGGCAAAAAGGAGACAGAGGGGGGAGGCTGGGAAGGGAGGTGAAGGGGAAACAAAGGAGGAGGCTGCAATGCTTGGTAAGAAATGTACGCATTATCCTGCCCATGTAATTGTAACCCCTCTGTACAGTATGTTCACAAAAAAAATTAAATTAAAAAAAAAAAGGAGACAGAGGAGTGCCTTAAATGGAAGAGTGCCAGCCTGCCAAGCCCTGAGTTCAAACCCCAGTACAAAAAAAAAAGTCTTTCTTGAAAGCCTAAATTTAAAGGCTACACCGTGTGTAGTGTGTATGTGTGTGTGTGTGCGTGTGTGCGTGTGCGCGCACAGGTACTGGGGCTTGAACTCAGGGCCTGGGTGCTATCTCTGAGCTTTTTTTGCTCAAGGTTAGCACTCTTCCACTTGAGCTACAGCTCCACTTGGGTTTTCTGGTAGTTAACTGAAGATAAGAGTCTCACAGAATTTCCTGAATGGGCTGGCTTTGAACTGCCATCCCCAGAGCTCAGCCTCCTGAGTAGCTAGGATGACACGCATCAGAAATGACTTCCTTGGTGCATATGAAAACCACAATCCCGGGGCTGGGAAGGTGGTTCAGTGGTAGAGTGCTTGCCTCGCATGCATGAAGCCCTGGGTTCAATTCCTCAGCACCACATAAGCAGAAAAAAAAAAGCCGGAAGTGGTGCTGTGGCTCAAGTGGTAGAGCACTAGCCTTGAGCTAAAGAGCTGAGGGACAGCGCCCAGCTCAGAGTTCAGACCCCACGATCGGACCCAAAAAAAAAAAAAACCACAATCCCCTCACCCAAACCTGTGTAAACAGTAGAGAGGTTCCAGGGAAAGTAGGTTCCAGGAAGTAGAGGGTAAAATGCAGCAACTGAGATTACAAAAGATGGTAATGCCTTGGACAAATAAAACAGAACAGAACAAACACTTTGGATAAAAGAGGAAAAGAAAGCAAAGTCAACATTAGCAGCCAGGGCAGATTGGAATGTAAGGTCCAGCTCAAGGAAAGGGGGCTGGCAAAGGGGAGAGGAAATCTCAAATTCTACACAGATGTGGGAGAAGATGAGGACGCCAAGCCACTCAGAAACCTAGGGCGAACTTCCCAGACAGAGTCAGAATTCTGAGGAGGGCAGAAAGCCTAAGACAGCTTGCCAAGAAAAGTTCAAAGATTGCTTCTAACCTCTGTGAGAAGTGTGAGGGGGAGTTGGGTGGGACCATGGAAAGGGGCACACAAGGACATTTAGAGACCCGGGAAACCAAATATGGACATCTCCTGCCCACCCAACAAAATACCACTGACAGATTTTTCAATGACCATTAAAGAATTCTCCAAACTGGGCATCAGTGGCTCACGCCTGTAATCCCAGCTACTCAGGAGGCTGAGACCTGAGGATCATGGTTCATAGCCAGTCCATGCAGAAAAGTCTGAGACTCTTCATTGCTAGTATTATGCTCACCTTTGGTCCTCAGCTCCACCCACACCTGGGCCCCTCCCATTCCTGGAGTTCCCGCCATACAGCTGGCCCCTCCCTCTCTCCACCCAGACCCACCTGAACTCCCATCTACCTCATTTCTGATCCACCCCTCCCAGACCCTCCTGCTACCTGGATGGTGACAGAGGCCATGTGCTCCCCCTTGGGGGAAATATGGCTCCTCTAATAAACCTTATAATAATCTTTCTCCTGTGCCTGCCTGCCTCTGTGTGGTCCCCTGGGATGGATATGTCCGATCCTCTTTCACTTATCCAGTTAACCAGCAAAATGCTGGATGTGGAACTGTACTCAAGTGGTAGAGCGCTAGCCTTGAGCACAAAAGCTCAGGGACAGGATCCAGGCCCTGAATTCAAGCCTCAGTAAGTGGCACCAAAAAAAACCTGTGAACACACTAAAAGTCATTGAAGCATATATTTTAAATGGGTGAACTGTACAGGTAAAGCTGTCTTTTAAAAGACAAACACACACACACACAAAAAAAAAAGGGGCTGGGAAGGTGGCTCAGTGGTAGAGCGCTTGCCTTGCATGCATGAGGCCCTGGGTTTGATTCTCAGCACCACATAGGCAGAAAAAAAAAAAAAAGCCAGAAGTGGCACTGTGGCTCAAGTGCTAGCCTTGAGCTGAAGAGCTGAGGGACAGCACCCAGGCCCAGAGTTCAGGCCCCAAGACCAAACCCAAAAAAAACAAAACAAAACAAAAACAAACACTGAGAGCCAAGAGTAGCAGCACATGCCTGTAATCCAAGTACTTGGAAGCTAGAGAACCATGAGTTTGAGGATCATGAGTTTGGGCCTATATACTGAGACTCTGTCTCAAAGAAAAAGGAGAAAATTTTTAAAAGATCATGGAACTGATGTTGGTATATGTAGAGGGGAAGGGAAAAAACAAATCGTTAAAACAGGGATACGGGAGGACCCATTGCAACAGTGAGATGTACAAGTCGTTATGTCGAAAAACGAACTTTACAACTTTGGTGGGGGGGACGGTGGGGAGGATACGAAGGGACAGGAAGGGTAAACAAAGGAGGAGGCTACAATGCTTGATAAGAAATGTACTCATTATCTTACCCATGTAATTGTAACCCCTCTGTACAGTATTTTCACAATAAAAAAAAATAATGCTCAAAAAAAAAAAAAGATCATGGAACTATGGACAGAAGCCTGAGTAAACAAGGAAAGCTTAGAAGACAAAGTGGAAAATTTCACAACATGAGATAATTCCTGTTCTACAGGTCACAAATAGAGATCTGGAGATGAAATGGCCAGGCCAACTTCATTTATGAATAATGCAGCCAGAACTTGATCCCCACCCCCACACAATTAGTGGGCAACTTTTTGTGAGGGGTGCTGGTCTTGGGTCTCAAACTTAAGAGCCTGGGCACTGTCCCTGAGCTTTTTTGCTCATGGCTAGTGCTCTACTACTTGAGCCAAAGCTCCAGATCCAGCTTTTTGATAATTAATTGAAGGTATGAGTCTCACAGACTTTTCTGCCCAGCCTGTCTTTGAACCATGATCCTCAGATCTCAACCTTCAGACTAGCTACGATTTCAGGCATGAGCCACCAGGGCCTGGCTTCCTGGGTTATTTCAATTGACTGTCCCTTAAGACCTATCTAGGCTCAGAGCATGTACTCTGGGAGCAGTGGGTTTCTCTGGACCACTGAGTACCCAAGCTTTATGCACACTCTTCTAACACTTGCAAGCCAGCATCACATTTTCTGCTTAGGCTGCACAGACAGACAAGAACTGTGGTTTTCAGAATTCAGAAATTTCTAAAAATACCTCCTTAGGTTCCACTGCAGTTTTGTACTATGACCACTAGAGGGCACCTTAAACCCTGCCACTGGTTGCTGAATTATGATTGGAGGGGCATCTGATCTTGATCTTGTATGCATATAAGCACATGCCCAAATAAGATCCCTTTGTACATACTTTATGCTAATTTAATTTGTTTTAAAGAGTAGGAAGGAGGGGCTGGGAAGGTAGCTCAGTGGTAGAGTGCTTGCCTCGAATGCATGAGGCCCTGGGTTCGATTCCTCAGTACCACAGAAACAGAAAAAGCTGGAAGTAGCACTGTGGCTCAAGTGGTAGAGCACTAGCCTTGAGCTGAAGAGATGAGGGACAGCGCCCAGGCCCAGAGTTCAGGCCCCATGACCAACAAAAAAAAAAAAAAAAAAAGAAGAAGAAGAAAGAGGAAAGCACCATAATGCTTTTTCACAGGGGCTTTCACAAGAGTCATGCACAAGAGTTCTAATTTCTCAGTCACACACTGGTGGCTCACACTTATAATCCTAGCTACTCAGGAGGCTGAGATCTGGCTTCAATGACTTTTAGTGTGTTCACAGGTCTTTTTTGGTGCTATGGCTCAAAGTGCTAGAGCATGCTGGGAATATGGTGGCTTAGTGGAAGAGTGCTTACCTAGCATCATGAAGCCCTGGGTTCAAGTCCTCTGCACCACATAAACAGAAAAGGCTAGAAGTGGTGCTGTGGCTGAAGTGGTAGAGTGCTAGCCTTGAGCAAAAAGAAGCTGGGCTGGGAAGG